CAAGAACAAAAAATATTTGAAATCATAATCTATGCTTCTTTTTTTGTCCTTCATCTATATCTTACTATTGGTCTTGTATATTGTTGAGTTCTCAAAAATTTCAAATCACATATTATTGTAGAAAATAAACATTTATTTGATTTTATCTCTCGATTGAAAGTCATTCTTACCATATACATACCAATTCACATGAACATAGGCTATACATCATTGACACGGAATACTATTGTTTACTTTCTTCTACTCGATTTTTTTCTCGGATTCTTATCATTGTATTCATAGTATTTGGATCAAATCTGCATTGTATTTATTTTTGTAACAGCTATTTTCAGTAGCAGTAGCAACCGAATGGTTCTATTTCAACAACAAAAATTCTATCTATGAAATTGTATCTCTGATTGCCGAAGTTATTTCCGCTTTTCTTTTGTAATACAATTATTATTCTACAATTTTTTTTGGTTTCATCTTAAAACTCAACATATTGCAACAGACGAATTGATTTCAGTTAAAAATGAAAACAATGTTTAGCCTACTACTAAAATAGTGATGATCATTGAAAAAAAATTTATGAATACTGCTGTTAATTCTTTGAAGAGTAATAAAAACAATCTTTAAATGTTGAAAAACTAGAGTTATAGTTTTCTATAGAATCTATCTTTGAGAATTTATATTAGTATTTACTTCTCTGTGCAAGATATATAATTAAAAATAATTCTATCGAACAAAATTCATTGTTATTTATTCATATAATTTTCACTATTATGATCGGTTAAGTACTCTATTATTTTGTATGTCAATATTCAAGTTCCTCTTTCTAAACATCGCGTGACAAGTAATGCATTGCTTGAAATTTAGTTTTATTTTATTTATTAATGTATTGTATATGTAACAGCATATTTAAATACTAAACAAAAACTATATAATCACATATCATTTATTGAAATTCTATCTGAAAATATCATAATGTATAAATATGAATGAATCAAACGAAACATAAAACTTGTTTTGAAAATATTTACTAAGAGTAATAATGATAGAAAACAGTTTAAAAAAGAAAAATACTAATATTTTTTTTGTATAATGTTAAGCAATAAATTCAAATCTAAATAGTGCATATCAAAAATCTTTTCATTCAAAATGTCTACATCAATGATTTTTACCTCATATGTAATCATGATAAATCTTGGAAAAAAAAAGATATCAATCAAATACAAGTATAATACTACAGGGACATTTATTCTGAGGTATTATCATTTGTTAGAAACTACTTTTCATTTGCTTATTGTTTCTATAGAATTTGACCATGAAACGACATGATCATTTGTCATAACTAGAATATTGTTCTTCGCTAATCTTGCTTGATTTTATTACTTATATTCATAATGTATTTCTTTCAAGTTCGTTCTATTTTGATGAATAGCTAGTGTTAATCGACATCGACAACATACAATGAATGAGAACAAAAAATATTGATGAAGCAATATCGACCGAGGTACTGTTCACAGTAATGTCACTGTCGATTTGTCATCTAACACTATCTAATATAAAACAGAAATGTATGGCTCATTAGAAGCCATTTACATATGTGCAAATTGATGATACCAACGTATCGTGACCGAGTTTTTTCTTCTTCTTCTTTTTTTTTTGCGGTTATTTACTTTGTATATTGTTGTTAATTTCTTTTAGTGTATTGCTAACCAATTATATATATATATAAATGTATGTATGTTCAAGGTTATCATTAGCTCAATTAAATATATAAATGACGAATAATGATGCTTGAAAACGATCGATAGATTGCAAAATGATCTAAGGTTATACATATATTGTGAATACAATATATAAATATAGTTGCACAATATTTCATGTAAAAGTGTATAATAGATATCAATAAAATAACATAAAAGAAATTAAGTTACATTCCATAATAGACAAGAATATATTTTTATGACAGAAGAATGTAGAAAAAAAAAACAATGTAACTTAAATTATTTTCCTTCTAATAAAATGTATAAATCACTCACAAGAAAAATAAATTAATCCTCCTATGATAACACAGTATGAGTGTAGTATTTATTCAAAACAGAAATAAACATATGATGTCCTATCTCTTCGTTTTGTCTGGTTGTTCAGCTGAGAATATGTAAATAGTTATATAAAGTATATCGATTATTTTACGTTTGTTTGTTAAGAGAAGAGAAAAAAAAACGAGATCACATCAATATATTTATGCTCTTTTTTTTCTTTGACGCATCATCTTCTTCATGTCGACAATCTATTACTTTCTTTTTCCTCATATCACAATATCCTATTCAAATGATTCATGGCCATTATATACAACAGCTATTGTCACCTGCTGTTGAGATCAACATATAATTCTAAAAGAGCAGACGCGCAAGCTTATGTCAATAAATCATTCTGTCAACTTTCTTTCTATACATACATGCCATGTACTAACTGTCTCATCATATTGATTGTCAACTTTCCGTATAAGTTTGGTATGTATACTGGGTTTTTTTTTGCTTCTTCTTCTTCTCATCATTGATATCGAACAAATATGATTTTGTTGTTCTGTTTTATTTTTCTAGCATAGACATGATCACATTTCATGTTTTCTCACCCTAAAGCATTATCTATTATTTATTTGTTCGTCTATGAATTCTGTTTATCATTCGTTTAACTATTCACGATTGTGTGATATATTGCAAAGAAGATGAAGAAAAACTCATAGACTAGCAAATTCCGTAAGAATTCTATGTCATACGTTTTTTTTTTCCTTCAAACTCGTTTACCTAAGGTTGATTACATTTTCTCCTCATATTTCTAGTTTTTGATAGTCAAGCATATATATACATGCATGTCTCATTATTCATTACATTTTTTTAAATAAAGAGAAAAAAAGGTAAATTTCCGAGAAAAGAAAAATAATTTTTATCTCAAGGATATTATTTGTGGTTTGTTTAAAGACAAAAGAATATAAAAATAACAGTAAGAGTTTGAGTAAAGGATGTATATTTTTTATAGAAATATAAATAAAATCTGTTGTTTTAATTGACTGATTTTGTACCAGCTGTTCCATTATTCGAATCCAATTGACTATACTTAGAAGTATATATTAAAAAAAAAAAAAAACTTTGCTTCAAGGTAAACATATGAGTCCGAAATAAGAATGAAAGTACTTTTCATGAACAATATGTCTTACAATGTATATATCGATAAGATGTACGCTGTTCTCAAATACAGAGATGCTGTTAACATGTAACTAATAAAATATTTGATAAAATCTATTATCTGATAAAGACAACATCTTTTTGCTTTTTTTTTGTTTATCATTTGTTCTACATTTACATGAAAATATTTATTTGATATTGTCTCTATAAAGTATACTTGAAAAGTCAAGTATTTCTTTTTTACAATTGATGAAAAAGAACTCAAGAATAAATTTATTATTTGAATTTTTTTCTAATCCTTCAATATGTATATATATATATCTCAATATGATCTGTTTTTTTGTTGTTGTTGTTGTTCGTTTTGTATTGTTCTTATTATTATCATCATTCTATAAAACAACAGGAGTTATATAGTCTTAGATCATTGATGACAATATCAACACTTGCAAATAGATAGATACATATGTTTTCACTGATATCTAAGTGGCTACATGGCAAGTTTTCTTCTTCTCTCTCTCTCTCTCTTTATCATGTTACGTCTCGTCAATATTTGGACATATATACAGGATACCATGTTTTTTTTTCTTTACTTGCTGTTTATGTAGATTGTTAATAGCAAGACAATACTTGTCCTTCACATTTTTCTTCTTCATCGTTGATCATGCACACTGTGACTTATGTCCTTGAAGATCAAAAAAAAAGAATTATATATAGAAAGAAAAATGAGAACTACACACATGGGTTTGTTTGTCAGATTGTAAAACATTATCCGTAGCGAGGTTATTACAGAAATAAAGCTATTATTAATCCGGAAGGTATCTGTGAAGAATCAAGTAGATATGTATGCATAGTTGTGTGCAAATGTGTGTGTCTCACAACAATATTGATGAAAGTGAATAGTAAGGGAGAAGAGAACAGATGATGCCAGTAATGCGAAGGTGAGGAATGGATAGAAGGGAAACGACGCGGGGGGAAGGGGGAGGGAGTAGAGAGACAACAAGACGCAAAAAAACTAAAGCAAAGAATCGCGTTCTCTTGTTCTCTTTGTTCTGCTTCTTCTCCTCCTTCAATATTACCACTCGACATTCCATTGCACGCATATGCTTACAAGAAGTGAACCATGATATATGTGTTTACGTGCCATTGCACGTGTACGAATAACTTACACATGTTATAAAAAGATCGATATTATACAATTTTGAATGAAAATTCATACTCTCATTGTTAGTTTTTTTTCTTTCTATGTTATATATAATTGCATCATCATTTAAAACTCACTTTTATGAGTCAATTGTTTTTCTTTTTTTTCATTTTGTTTTTTTTCGTCGTTTAAAAAGATATGAAAAAAAACAATAAGGGTATGTAAGTGTCGAAACTTAGTTTATCAATGGTTCACATTACAGTTGTTGCTTTTGATATCTTTATCTATCATTATCAACAAAAAATAGAAATTAATAGAAGATTAGATTGATCAGTACAAACAAAAAAAAAAAGAATGAGCTATAGAAATAAAAAAGGAGAGCGTAAAAAAATTGAAGAAAAGAAAGAAAAAAAAAGAGAGAGAGCACTATAGGTTGAAAAGACAAGTGTAAGTGAAGGTCATAGTATAGAAAAAACACAAGAGAGAGAGAGAGAGAAAAGCGTGTACATACATGTGCCTCTAGGATAGTTTTGCACAAACAGCAAATTATTTGTCGATGGATTTTTATTTCTTAATGTTCTATAATTATGTTTTCTTCTTGATATAGATATTTGTTAATCATAAATAAAATGTTTCGACATGATCAATAAAAATGATGTATTAACAAATTGAAATTCATTACAACAAATATGTTTATTAAATATTCTCTAAGAAAAAGTATTTTATTATTTCTTTCATCATTATGTTTGACAATAGCTGTTAATAATTATCGTGAAAATCTTGCCCAACGTCATCCATGTTATTCGGTGAATAAACGACTTGTACCATATATTAAATGGACTGAAAAACTTGCTAGTACTCAATATAAAGGTAAGTTGATTTTCTTTAGAAATATTTTATCAAGATAAAACAAATATGTAAAAATATTCATGAAAATGTAGTCTAACTATTACATACATAGATATATATATAGATTTTGTTTTTATAAGTCTAGATAACAAATTCTATCAGAATTTTTCTATATTTTAACTAAAAAAACTTTTCATAACTTATATATAAAATCTCATTAGTGTAAAAGTCAAAGTTGATTAATATGTTTTGTAAATTTTCTTTTATCTTATACGAACATCGAGTTTAACCTGCTTCGCATTCAAAAATAATTCTCAAACAAAAATATCTTGTTTTTCTTTGTTTTTCATTCTATACACGTATAGTATGTCATTAATCTATATCAAAAAAAAAAAACACGAAAAAAAGATAAGGCATAAGGTGTGATGTGCCAGATCAATTGAGGTCTCATTGCCACATTTATTTAGCGCTTTGGCACACGTTCAAAGAAACGACAATAAATAGAAAAAAGAAAAAACGAAGCGAACAAATACTCATGTTGAGTTTATTCAAAATGTATTTTGTGTCGTAAAATAAACTCAATAAAAATTATTGACTTTTCACCTACTGAAACCTTCTAAAAGCTTTCAAAAAAAAATATATATTGCATTGATACGATATCTATGAAAGAAATTTTTTTTATGATTTCATATATAATAATTAATTTATAGATATTCTTGAAAAAAAAAAATTATTTTATTTTCCTAGTTCAAAAAGATGCTTGTGGTCAAATTAGATCTGGTCCAGCATGTTGTACAAATGAAATATTTAATTCTTATACATTTTCACTTGCTAATGATCTTAAAAATTTATTTGATAGTAAATTAGATCAATTAACTCAATTTTTTTTATTAACAAATAAAAAACTTGATAGTACGTATATATTTATATATTAATTTAATTATTTTTAATTATTACTTTTTTTTTTTAATAGATCGTATAAAAATTTATATAAAAGAATTTCGTCATATAACAATATCATCACTTGAAAGTTTATTTGGTATAAAAGAATATAATTTAAATATTCATCATTCAATATTAAAATTATTTAATATTCTTGGTAATCATCAATCAACTATTGATGATATATCAAATTCAGCTGTTAATTTATTTGATCAACTTATTATATCATCATATCGTCGATTTATGACTAATAATAATGATATTATAATTGATGATAATTTTAAAAAATGTCTTTTAATTAAAGCATCAGATATTGAAGCATTACCTACAAAACGTGAATTAATTTATACATTAACAAGTTCAAATTTATTAATACAAATTCTTCGAACATTATTTATTTATATTGATGCTGATATTCAACGATTAAAAACAACAATAATATTTAATTCTCATCAATGTTTACAACGATATGTAAGAGAAACATTATGTCCAATATGTGTTAATATACCATCATCATTATCTTCATCTATTAATTATGATAATGATAATAATAATAATAATAATAATAATAATGAACCTTTATGTGAAAATGATTGTCAATATGTAATTAAAACATGTTTCAATGAAACAACTAATCCTTATGTAACATTTGCTATTATTGCTCAAGATTATGCAAATATTATAAAACAAATTCAGGAATCTGTTATTGAACTAAAAGTATAATATATAATTTAACAAAAACATAATATTCTTAATTAGATAGAATCTTTTGTTTGTGTTTTTTTAGCTTGTTGAACGTCTTTCAAAATTACATATTTATTTATATGATATGGTTGTAAATGCGACAAATACTCGACAAACATATCATCAATTACAAAATGCTTGTCCAAATTCCAATGAAAAACCATATCAACCAATTGTTTCATTATCACCAATAACAAGTGAACGACGTGAACTTGTTAGAAATTGGAATATATCATTACATTTTATGCTTGATCAACTGCAATCATCAATTGCCTATTTAAATACAAATCTTACGCAACAGATAATGACTAATATTTGTTCTAATTCCAATTATGCTGTCAAATCAAGTCGATGTATACAAATTGATCAACATATGCCTGAGTAAGTTTATTGATAAAAGAAATTTTTCAGATATTATACTTAATTATACAAATATGACACAAACAGAAACAATATATATATATATAAACAAAATTATATACGATTGATTTCAGATAGTATTTATATACATAAGAATTATAACTTAAATTAAGCAGATTATTCGAAAGAAAGTATTAAAAATATGTATAGCGTCAACGTAATTTATTTTTTTGAAAATCATTATATTAATACAATAAATCAAATCATAGATTAACTTAAGAAAAAAAAAAAAAAAGAAACTTTCTATTTACCGTAAAATTAGATTTTTATATCTAATGACTATTTCATATTTTAAAATTATACTTTTCCTTTTTGAGTTATTATGCAATATAGATAAAATTTATCGTTATATTCAAATTGCATTTGACTAAAATGACAATTCTACATATAGACAAATTTCACATAATGCGTTATGTAAAGCAACAAAAAAAAAATATTAATCTAATTCTAACGACAACTTGTTAAAGTCTTGTATAAAGCTGTATTAATTCTACACCTACCAAGATATTTGACACTTTTGCTAGAATAAATTAGAAAACTTCCGATTAACTCTAAGCAATGATAAAATGCCATAGGATTGGATATATTTCTTTCATTTTCTCAGAGAATATTATCTTCTTTATGAAGAGTATGAGTAATTCTAAAAATATAAATGTGATCGTGACGGTATAGATAGAATGAATAATACAAAGTATGTATATGAGAGAGTAAGATTATATATCGAGAAATATGAAATAAAACAGAGATCGAATGTGATCTTTCAATGGCATGAAGACAATAAGCAATCATTTTAATCATTGTAGATTATCATGTTTCTTTTTGTAGACAACACAGAAAATATACAATAGCACTAACTGATACATATATTCCTTTACAATCGTACTAATTTATATGAAGTTTACATAGTTTTACAAAAGATTTCTTTCTTAAAGTATTTTATTTTAACAAACCAAAAAATCTCTAATACGTAATTATAATATATTAATTTATGTTTGCTATGAATAATTTCAAATCTAATCAATATCTTTTTGTTAGATATGTTACAGTAATATTATTTGATTTGATTAACTTCTGAAGACTTTTATATATTAGATCATATTAATATAAACATAATTAAATAGAATTCTAAATGAAAATTTCATTTTTTATATAATAATTATAAAATGATTTATAAATTTCTTATTTTAGAGGTTTTATGCAATGGCCATTACCATCTTTAGAAATAAATTTACAAATAGCATCAAATTTAACTTCACAATTAGCACATAATCAACTTGATGAATTAAAAAAAAAGATGACACATATACAACAAATAATTATTTCACTTCGACCAAGAAAAAAAACTTCACTTGTTGAAATTTTACCTGATTTTGAATATGACTATGAAATGGATACTAATGATAATGATAATCAATCATCATCATCATCAGCATTATTTGATACATATGAAAATGAAAATCAAGAATCTCTTAGTGAACAAATTTATAAAGAAATCGATGGAGAAGTTACAAGTATGTATTCTTAATATATATAATAGTAATTAAATCGATATTAGTTGTTAGAAACTCATATGAAAAGATTTAGTTCATATGAGTACAATTGTTAAAGTAATTTTTGTGAAAATATATTTCTGATTCATTGAACAAGAAGTTTTCATATGTTTAATAAAAATTGTTTTTGTTTTTTTTTTGTATTACTTTTAGGTCAATCAGTAACAAAAGCAATAGATTATATTAAACAAAATAATGTTAATCATTTTCAATTAATAACGTATAATATAATATCATATTTCTTTATGTTTTTTATTGTAATCATTCACCGAATCTTGTTTACTCATCAATGAATACGACATCGAATAATGAGCTTGTAAAGCCTTAGTTTTAAATTACTTCTTTGTTCAATATTTGTATAATGATAACATTTATTATGTTATCATCGATCCAATATTCCTTATCTATTTTTAATTTATTATTTTCTTTGTTTTTCTTTTTTTTTTTTCTTTAAATAATGTCCGGTGTTCTTTTCCAATAGTTGCCCTTTTTATTATTATCATGAACAGTATAAATATTTTACACATACAATAAAAAATTCTATTAAATGTTGATGTCGAACTGATATAAAATTTTATAATTATTTCTTTGATAAAAACAAATTAATATCTGAAAAATTCATGATTATAAAAATTTATTTGTATATAAGAAAAATCAGAATAAACAATCTATTCACGGATAATGAACTAGGGATGTACCGAGAC